GGAATATATTTTACCTTAATACGAATAGTAATATTTAGAAACGTTCAGAATCTCTTTTCCCTGAAAATCACATTTTTCAACACAGTTCTATTTAAACGCCTTAACCACTTGCGCTGGCAAGCGATCTGCGGACCATAACGAGTGACCAAACTCGTATAATAATTCGTCGCTTTCTTTTATAACAACCCGCCGATATGATATCACTATAGATAGAAATTATTAAGAAGCAATCAATTTATTACTTTAGTTTGCCCAGGTTATACTTAAATATACATAAAACTGAGAAAGTATTGCAATTTCGAGGCGAAAAGATTCTGGACGTGCGTGGCACGTCGTTCCAGCGCAAGAGGTTAAGGAGGTTAACTCGTCTATCGAGGATGCCGTTGACTCGACGTTTCGTTACTCCTCTCGGGCAATTTGCGCGCGTCGAGCTCGTAGGTATATCGTGCAATTTTAAACAATTTGTAACCAAAAGCGCGATACAAGATTTCTTTCGGATTCTTATGGAACGTGGCAGCGAAAGTAAATCGCTGTGTTTGCATTTCGTTTGGTAACGAACAAATGATACGATTTTTCGCCGATACTCGCGTGACTCGCGTGACAATAATGGCAATCGTAACAACACGGCGAAGGAGTTCGATAATGAAGAGTCCATTAATGAGCTGAACGCGAAGACAAGAAGAACGAGACAAAGAAAGAGAGAAAATGGTGAGACAGTTTGACGAGGCGAGCCTGTGTTGCGCGAGTCGTAGCAGGCACTAACTAACTTTAACCAGTCGCAACGGCTCGGTAATTGTCGCAAATTGACCAGCGGGACCCCAAACGTGGAACGGCAGGATCGTCGTCGCAGCCATGCCTCGTCAATGCATGGAGTAAATCACGCGCGAGAATCTCAACAAACACGAAACGCGCTTCTTTTTCTCCCGCAAATGCGGAAACGAACACGAACCGTGCAGTGGTAAAGATAAACGACGACAACACGCGCGAGTTTTCCTTCTCGACGAAGAAATTTGAATTTCCCGCCGTTGGTACTTTGCAAACAGGCGATCAGCTGATTTCACATATTCGTGTGTGTGTATATATATATATATATATATATATATATATATATATATATATATATATATTTATACATATATTTCCAATATATATATATATATATATTTCCAAAGACGAAAATCCCCGACCGATTGGGATCAATTTGTCTTCGTCGACCATTAATTCCACGACTTCGTAGCGGAGCTTCGATTAACCCTCTCTGTCTTCGTTTCGGAGTTTCAAACGAATCAATTTCGATTCGATCCTTTCGTGCCTCTTCTCCAACTTCCGACACGTTTACTTTCGTCTAACGACGTTACTCTTAGAGTAAGAAATATTTCAAGATTATCCGAAATAAGTTCCTCAATTCTTAGAATAACGGCGCTTGCTCCAATTGAAAAAAATCTCGCGTCATTTCTTAGAATTAAAAAAAATCGAAGAACTCCAACGGATCAAAGAACCAAGATAAATTTTTATGCACATACTAGAAACTGTTTCCTTCCAACAATACACGATGATGGATTAACCACTTGCGCTGGCAGCTAATTGCGGACCATAACGAGTGACCGAACCGTATACAATAAATCGTCTTCTTTTTGAATTCATCGGTATGTCACTGGATAGAAATTACTGAGAAGTAACAAATTTATTATTTGTTTCGCACAAGTTACACTTAAATATACTTAAAACTGGATAAACATTGCAATTTTCGGAACAAAAGAAATTCTCGTCAATCCAGCGCAATGGGTTAAGGCTTCTTTAACCACTGACTGCGGACCATAACGAGTGACCAAAACCGTATACAATAATTCGTCGCTATATTTCTGTACTCGTCGGTACGATAGAAATGATTGAGAAGCAATAAATTTATTATCTATTTTGCCAAATTTTATTATTTATTTTGGGCCATACTTAAATGTAACTTGAAACCGCGAGAATATTGCAACTTTGAGGCAAAAAAACTCTCGACGTGGGTGGCGCAAGAGGTTAAATATATTCCAATCGACAGTCGTTCCTAAAGATAACATGAAATCTGACGTACGATTGAGGAATGACGATTCATCGTCATCTACTTTTTTCGAAGGAAAATTCCTACAGCCACAAATCCTACAGCCTTTCGGATCGTTTGGTCGACGAGGTCAACGAATTCGAGTTAACGAGAAGCCGGTGATCTGGACGAGACTTGGACAGAACCGCTCGGATCTCGCGAGGTTCGCGAATTGACTTGCATAACCGGCACGTAGCAGCGCGATAAAAAAACGCGGCTTCGTGCTGCGGGGCTTATTTTTAGTTAGGGCCGTACGTTGGGTCGTTCGTCTTCGACTGTTTCGAGCTTGGCGAGCGAGATGAATTCTGCCGAGTCGCTCAAGTAGGAAAATAAACGGCGCGACCTCGCGAGCGCGGTGACGCCTCGTGATCGTGGCAAGGTGTTCGACCCGCGAGTTTTCAGCCCTCCCCTCCCCCAATTTTCTTTTCTCTTCTCTTCTCTTACCGGACACTCGTCACAAGACAAGTAGAGTATCATAATAAATAAAAACACGCTTCTACGTTTCATTCGGTTTTCGTGTGTACGGACTGAACATAATCATAACTTATAAATTCAGCTGTTTTTTTTTATTTTAAGTTACCTGATTGAACGACAGGAGGATCTCGACGATTAATTATCGTCATGTATTCTTAGATTGTTTTAATACGTTCGATACGACTTTTTGTTTATTCTGTTTCTTTCTCCGACACTGCACTAGCTGCCACCATGTTTTGTAACAAAAAGAGGTATTCGACGTGTCAAAGCGAAAATATGTAACGATAATTAATTGTCGAGGAGAAGCTGAATTTATAGGTTATGAAAACGCGTGGCCGCTGACGCACGCGCGAAAAGAGGTTATTTCTGTAAATAGAAATTTGACAAAGTGACAAAATTTGAACAGAAACTTGTCGCAAACGTGACAAATCTTCGTTCGAAAAATTGAATCAAATGTGTACTAGCCAGTGACTAGCCGGGAAAATCGTTTGATCAAGAGAAATCCGGAGTCAAGAGAAAAGAGGGGCGAACAAGTGAAATTCGCGTGGCTGAATTTCATTTTTCAAAGAACGACTCGTGCAAAGGAGACAACATCTCTTATTAACCTCTTGCGCTGGCAACTGATTGCGGACCATAACGAGTGACCAACACCGTATACAATGATTCGTCGCTTTTTTTTTGAACTTGTCGGTATGATATCACTGGAGAGAAATCATTGAGAAGTAATAAATTTATTATTTTGCCTGAGTTATACTTAAATATTATATATTAAAGTATAACATACATAATACTTAAGTAGTAATAATATTTAAGTAATATATAATTATTATATGTTAATATAAATATTATATTATACTTAAGACTGAGAAAATATTGCAATTTTGGGACAAAAGATTCTCGACGTGCGTTAAGGCTTCTTTAACCACTTGCGCTGGCAACTGGTTCGCGGACCATAACGAGCGACCGAACCGTATACAAATAATTCGTCGCTTTCTCTTACTTTTGAACTCGTCGATACGATATCATCGGATAGAAATTATTAAGAAGCAATAAACTTATCATTCGTTTTGCCTGGGTCACGTTTAAATATACTTAAAACTGAGAAAATGTTGCAATTTCGGACAAAAAAAAAAAAAAATTCCAGCGCGAGTGGTTAACGAGAGTGGTTCGCTCGTCGTGATATTAAACGGTTTCACTTTTTAACTTCTGATAACAATTTCCTGACAATCCACGACTGGATTTCGTTCGATCTCAAGAGAGAGAGAGAGAGAGAGAGAGAGAGAGACTCGCGGTCCGCACGTTCGAACGGAGAAACGGCGAATGATCACGCGAACCGCGGAGAGAGATCCAACACGCAGGAAAAAGAGACAGAGAGTAGGCTAGGTTGAGTTAGGTTAGCAAGTTAAATATGCGGCCGGTATTGTTAAAAATAGAGTGACGGCCGACCGCCGGGTTACTTGTGCAATCGAGCACGTGGGATCAGCCCCCTCTTCTCTTCCACGTCCCCACCACCCTGCTGCTGTTTCTCGATTCCTCTGATCCTCTCCGTGGAAAATTTGTCACCCATGCATCAACCCCCTCTCCCCCACGGACACTCCTGTACGATTTCTTTGCGACATGTGCGTGCGTGCGTGCGTGCGTGCGTTGCTTCGTAGGGGGCAAGAAGAGAAAATCAGTCAGAGAGCAAGCAAGACGAAGGAGGAGGATGTTTTGCTCTGGCAACGAATTTGGCACCGATCGAACGCGACACGCGTTCCTCGCCGCGGCCTTTGCCTCGTTCGCGCCCCACGTCTTTGAGAAAAAAAGAGGAGGGAGGGGAGGTCTTCGCTTTGGCATCGATCAAAAGAATCGTTTCGACGATGTGCTAAGTGACCGAACGCGCGCGGAGAGGGCGAATCGTCCAGTGAGAAGATCAGACTCTCAGAAACGAAGAAAGTCGTCGGGATTTTGGTTTTTTCAAACGAAACACAGATACACAGAGAGGAATTACCGAGAGAGGAAGAATTCGAGAGATAACAACGAGAATTTCAACGCACCGAGTAGTATAGTATAGACGGAAGTATGCTCGTTTGACGTCGATTGAAAGTAAAACGAAGTGTCAGACCGAGGGTTGCGCCCTTGACGCGGAAACGCGGCACGCGCAAATAACGCGCGTTACTCGTCAACACCGGACAGGCGAGGAGGATTTTGGCTGGGGTACAAACGAACGAGCCTCCGAGCGAGTTGGACGCGCGCGGCGCAGGAATCGCGTCCGTGTTAAAGAGATGAAGAAACGTAAACGCGTACACGTTTGTCCGTATTTCGGAGGGAAAAACTCGTACGGAGAAACTGGCGCGCGCACACACACACGCGCACGCACACACGCACGCACACACACAGAGTGGAAAAGAAGCGAGCAGCCAGTGTCCGGTTTCGCGGAGCGGGAAGAAATTGCGTCCCGGTCCGCGTGTGTGTACGTACCACGTACCGCGTTATGTTTGCCAGTGGTTTGTTCGTTCGAGCAACGACAGAGCGGTTATGTAACGAACCAAAGCGACGATCGACGCTCGTAACCTACCATCTAGCTACCTACCCCTGCGCCTCTGAAAATTGATCGATCGTGCGATCCGCGAGCGTCGTTCTTTCTCTATCTAACTCTCTCTCTCTCTCGACGGTCTCTTTCGTTCTACCGTTCGAACGAAAATGGACAGAAACGAACGGGGCGCCGTGAATAAGTAACGACGCCCGTCGTTCGTGCAGTTTGTCACGTTGGTGGCTTGACATTTCGCGCGGTTTCATTCTTAGAAAACCTATTCGCGATTTCCTGTCCGCGGACTTGGTTCGATACCTCACGTCAGCTGCGGCAGAGGCCTGTATAGATATATATTCGAGGGATCCTCCTGTTGACACGTCTCTCGATCGGAATCAAACAGCGTCTACATCTCGATTTCCGAACCTCGTCGTACCACGGACCTTTCCACCTGGCGACAAATTTCTGTCGCGTCGTAGGCGAAGAAGGGGGGGGGGGGGCGGTCGGAGGGGGGAGGGGAAGTTGGGAAAATAGAAGAGGATATATCTGCTGTGGCGATCTCGCGGCGCGACTGTTCCGGCAAAAAAATGGTCGGTTGTGTCTAAACAACGCGCGATTGGCACTGGCACACTGACACTAGCGGCAGAAGCGTTGCACTCGCACTGGCGAGCCGTGGATCGTCGTCGCCTGGTCGTCCGCGAAGATCGCGCTCGCTGCAACGCATCGGCACGGCCTCGCCGTCACGATGCCCCCGCGTCACACCGCCACGCCTCGCCCCGCCGCGCCTCGCCACGCCACGCCACGCCGCGCCTCGCCTCGCCTCGCCCCGCCGCACCTCGTCCCCTCCCTCCAACACGCGCTGCTTCCTCTCATTCACCCGTTCGATTTTCGAGTCGCGATTTCTGCTCGTTCGATTCCGCTCGTTACTGTGGACGGACGATGACGCCCGAACCAGCCAATTGCACGCGATTCTGCCTTGTCACTCGATAGTTTTCTCCTTCCCTTTCTCTTCTTTCTTCTCTCTCTCTCTCTTTCTCTTGCTCTTGCTCTCTTTTTATCGTGGTGTGTCTCGATCGTACGACGCGGTGTCGTGCGCGATATCTGACCGATAACAGCCAGACGAGCAAATTATCGTTGATCGATTTATACGAGGTACGCGCACCGACGGAACGTTGATTAATTGGCAAGGATCAATCGAACGAAGAGCCTAAGCTCTTCTTACCGAGTGGCCGGTAAAATTACCAGACACGCGCGATGCCGTGCGAGAACTAAGTAAATCTCTCGCTTCGCAAAAAAAAAAAAAAAGAAAAAAAAAAATCGAAACTCAAGGTGAGTCACCTCTTTGCTTCTTTGTTTCGGCGTGTTTGTCGTTCGAAACTTCGTCGAACGAACCCGATTCTGTTAACCTGTTGCGCTGGAATGCCACGCACGTCGAGAATATTCTCTCCCAAAATTTGCAATACTTTCTCAGTTTCAAGTATATTTACGTACAACCCGGGCGGAACAAATAATAAATTTATTGCTTCTCAATCATTTCTATCCAGTGATATCATCACCGACGAAAGAAAATATCATACCTTCAAAAAGAAAAAAGAAAGCGAATTGTATACGCGGTTTTGGTCACTCGTTATGGTCCGCAATCAGTTTCAGAGAAGCGGTTTCCAAAGATAGAAAAAAAAAACCTTCGCCGCTGGAAAGAGTTAGGCCCGATCTCGTGAATATTCATGACCCGCGTTACCGAACGCAGGTAAAAACATCGGGTTGCCGGGTATCGTAAGACGTGACGTCGGTTCGAAGCGACACGAAAAAAAAAAAAAAAAGAAGAAGAGGGAGAAACTCCGACAGAAGAAATGCCAAAGCGTTACGCGAGTGTTCGGTCGCGTTTTGCGGAAACGGCGATTCCGTGTTGTCGTGAAATTTCATGCTGTGGGGGGAGGGGGGGAGGGGCGGTCGCGTGAGGTTTTGCGCGCATTTCCGGGAAATTGCCAAACGCGATCGAACGCACGATCCATGAAAGAGGAGGGGAAAAAAAAAGAAAAAACGAAAATAAACTCAATCACGTTCTAATCCACAAACTCGCGCCGATTTTTCTCTCTTCGCGCGTGTCGTGTTTTTACTCGCGTGGCGATCGATTCTCGAATGAAGTTGAAACATTATAATACTACCTCGTGATTTAACCTGAACGATGATGCTTCACGATCGTCGATCGATCCTCTGCCGATGCCTGTGCATCACTGGACGCGTATTGGATATAGGACGCACGATCGGTTCGGTTCGACTGCCGCGTTACACGCCGCGAAGAAAAAAAAGAAAAAAAGAAAAAAGTAAAAGAAGAAAACGAGGCTTTCTCTGATTGCGAGCGAGCACGAGGCGATTTAACTCGCGCCGCGGCACAACGCGCGCAACCGATTATCTGCCGGTTCGAAGATAAACCCACCATTACGAAATCTTTCGTGGGGGGAGAGGAAGACAGCCCGGTGGACTCAAAACCATCGGCCGCTGGTTCTTGCCCAACGACTATTATAATTGTTATGGCTGGATGTAAAATAGAAACGAACTACTCGGAGGAGGGAAACGGTGATAAATAAGTGGTGAGGAAAATAAATGAGAGAAAAATAGATAAAGCAGAGTGAGGCAGAAAGGGGAAGAAGTGTGACAAACACACGTGGGTTGTAAAATGGATGTAACAATCCAGACAGACAAGTAAGAAAACCGAGGGAAGAAGGAGAAGACGAAAATATACTTTGCAGGCTGCCCCCTCCCCCCTTTCACGAATTATTTCACGTGTGTTTCTTATCGTTTGAAATCTTCATCTGCGACAATTCGATCACTTTTTTTTTTTCTTTGTTCCAACGTGTTTTTCAATGCACGTTTTGTAAAAAAGCTCGGAGTGTCTGTAGTTTTATTGTTTGTTTTAATATTATTTTATATCCAAGCAACGTACAGTGTATGACAGTACACCACGTGTGATCTATTATAGATCTTATTCCGTGTTCTCGTTTTTTTTTTTTTTTTTTCACTTGGGATCTTTTCACGGGAAAGGTGAAGGCAAGAAAGTTCCTCGAATCCGAGGAGTCTAGCGGTTTTTCTGCCAGATAAGGCGTTATCTGCATTATCACCTATCACTTATCAGGGAATGCGTATTTTTAGAAAATCCCGAGTGTAGTTTTGTTAAATTTAAACGATGCAAGTTAACGATAATTAACGCTAGAACTAGCCGACAAGCAAAGCAGAAAATTTCCATCAGAGATGTCAAAGTAAAAGGAAATTTTGAAAATTAAAGTGAAGAAGGAAATGTTCGGGAAATTTTTGTAATACAATAGGGCAGGGTCTCTCAAAGTATTTAGTTAACTAAATCTCGGGGGTCGCGAAGGAATTTTAGCAAAGTTAAAAAATTAATATATTTGACTTTGTCTTTAATACATGGTGAAATTGTATATAGGAATAAATTTTCTTTACTAGTTTATATATATATATCTTTGTACCCAGGGTCACGAAAATAAAGGAGGTTGCCAAGTGGAAAAGTTTGAGAAGCCCTGCAACGGGGTACACTTACGTATTTTACGAAGGATCATTCAAAAATACACTGAAAAATCTCCAAAAACCTCTCCCACTGTTTTACATCTACAAAATATCCAACTCCAAGTAAAAATCATCAATTGGCCATTTTGACAATTTTATTTTTATCTGAGATTAGACCAAATATTAAGCGTGCCAGTGTCGAATAAAAAATCTACTTGCATGAAATAGATACAAAATCACAACACACGATTATTCTATCTTACTTCCAGCAAGTTACAAACAAAAAAAAAAAAAAGAAAAAAGAAGATGGCCAGAGGATCAAAAATTTTGTTTAACATTACAACGTTCAACGTGTTAACTACGTGTGACTTATTATAAATCCATATTCTGCATGGCTATCCTACGCTACTATTCTCTCTGCCGTTCTATTCTACTTTTTTGTCACGGCGCTCGGGACATCTACGCAGGCCACGGGTGGATCTTTTCGTGGGAAAGGCGAACGCGCAAGGAAGTTGAACCCCTCCCGAGATCAAATTAATCCCAACGGAAAGGAGGTGGGGATCGAGATAAAGGCCTGCGGCCCTTTTATATAACCGTTTACGGAGGTCGATAGTCGATAGAGGGAAAACCGGGCGTGTGTTCCAGCAGGGAAAACGAGCCAGGTCTCCCCGAGCTAGGTCTCCGTTTCGATAGCCTCCTCTCTCCGTTGACAAAGGGAGTTTACCCTCTCTGGCTTCGTACCCCGGATTCTAATATCAGAAATTCGATTCGCCGCGATTCGTCGCGCTCTCCACCCAACGTGCTCGACAAACGCGTGCATCACTCCATCGATACCATAGCCTGCGTCAACTTT